TATTGTAATTTTTTCAATGTACGATGGTTAAAATGGCTCGATGACAACCATCAGTATTATTAGACTTGAAAATCCGTGTAATTTTTCGCCCGTCTGCGCAGACTGCACACAGCCCCTCCTTCTCCCTCGCTAAATGCAAACCCAGCCCCTCACCTGCGCATGCTCCCTCTGCTTCCTGCTTCTCCAGGTGGGTGGGAGTTAACTGCACAAGTAAACACAGGAGATATCAAAGAGCAGCTTAGCTGCTGAGCAAAAAGAAAAAATTAATTCTACCATTATTTAAACAGGTTAATCCCATTGAGTCTCGAGGACTCATCTACAAGAGAGACCTGAAGAAATGGCTGTTATTTGGAGTTGCTTTGGATTTAAATTGTCAGATGAGGAGCAGAAAAATGTTTTCTGTAGCCAATGCCGAAAACAAGTCCCGACAAAAGGTTGGCACTATGAATCTTTTTCATCATTTAAAAAAGTCTTATAAGTGGAATGTGAAGCGTCTGAACTGCAGCTGCAGGTCCGACTGACTTCAGCCTCCTTCCCTGAAACAAACCACGAGTCAAAACTCATTTAGCCGTGCTGTGCCTTATGTGAATAACAGTGAGAGGTGGTGTCACATTAATAAATCAGCAGCTTATCATATCGCTAAAGACACGGTCCCAGTCTCAACTGTCTCAAGATGGCTAAAATTAGCCATCTTGTTAGCCGCTAAGGACCATGTCTTTAGCGATATGATAAGTCACTGCTTTTTTAATGTAGTGCTATGTCTCACTGTAAGACTGGAAAATTTATGTAGTTCTTTTACTGCCCGTCTGCGCAGCCAACTTCACGCGGCCCCTCCTTCTCCCAAACGCAGCCCCTCACGTGCTGCTTCACACACGCTTACTTACGACTTACACGCTGAAGCGAATTATTTATGTTTGTTTTTTTCATATTTAAAAACTAATTTTTGGCTGAGATATGACGTTTTCATTCATTCTGACTGAAAATATTGAACACTACCATTTTCACCTGCTAGATGTCATGGCACTCGAGTAGTATGGCATGCCATTGCGTTGTGTAATAGGTAAAAGTGGCTATTAATGACACAATCGGTTTGCCACAGTCTCCCACCTTCATCCAGCTCTGGGATCTTGCCTGGAGCAACCGTCAAATCAGCTTCATTTCGCTGCGCCGCCCTGGAGGAATGCAGCTAATGGGACCATTAAAGTGCGTTTATTAAGTAAAAGTTCAACTGAGACACACCTTAACTATAATTTCGAGCAAACAAATAATTGTTTTTAGGTGTTTATATTGTTAAATTTCAAAGAAATGCACAACGACTCGTCCCTCTGCCAGTCCTACATCTGCGTATTGGCTTTTGAAATACAGCTGATTTGACCATCTATTTGCATTTATTAAGCAAAAGTTAAACTGAGACACACCTTTACTATAACACTGATTAAACAAATTATTGTTTTTAGGTGTTAATCTTGTTAAATTCTTGTTAAAGTCCTCCAGTGCACGCTCCCACGGCTGCCATTTGGCAGCCCATCGATTTTTGACACAACACCGTGTCTCTGAAAATACTGGGGTGGCACCAAAACCAAAAGCCAGAATTTGTATGTTGTCATATATATGTTAATAGTCAAATACAGAAATACAGGAGTTATGGTGATTCCCTATTTTTTCATTTATTTATTTACAGTTATTCCTAAGTAAAACTCTGTCCCTACTCAACTTATTAAACTTATACTTTCCTGAAAGGATATTTACGTATTCAAAATCTTAAATTTTGCTTATAAATGAACCAACTGTTTAGCCACAAGTAAAATAAAATACAGAAATGTGTCATCTTCGCTCTTTTTCTCTCAACCTCTGAAAACAGAACAGCTCTAATGCTTGATAAAGTGTCAATATCCACAGATTTAAAAATATTTAGTAATGCCAAGATATTCTAAAATTAGACAACAAACTCCAGTGTCAGTGTCCAGTAAAAGCACAAC